TAGAACTTGCTTTAAATAGGGGAATGGATTAAATGACCCGTATGAGACCTCATGAGCAGAAGGACTCAGAAAAGAGAATAAACAGAGACAAAGCAGGCCACAGATACAGAGGCACTGAATGGCAGAAGCCAGGAGTCGAGGGTTGGATCTGATCTGAAAGTTCATGCAGAGACATTTGAAAGAAGTGGAAAGTGATTATGTGATCCAAGTGATTAACTTACTTATTCATTAAGCAAATATTTATGGAAGTCTTCCTACCTGACAGGCATTATACTGAGCCCCTGCCTTCAAGGAGTTTACCATCTACTAGAGGAGAGAAACAAGTACGTAGACACCTGCAATTCTATCTAATGTTAACAGAGGACCTGCTGATGCCAGGCATGCTTTCTAAGTGTAATATGGTTTGGCTCTGTGTCCCCACCCAAATCTTACATCAATCAAACTGTAATCCCCACGTTCAGAGGGAGGGACCTGGTAGTAGGTGACTGGATCATAGGGGTGGTTTACCCAATGCTACTCTCATGATAGTGAATGAGTTCTCAAATGATTTGATGATTTGTAAGTGGCAGTTTTCCCGATCTCATTTCTCTCACCTGCTGCCATGTAAGACGTACCTGCTTCCCCCTCTGCCATAAACGTAAGTTTCTTGAGGCTTCCCCAGCCATGTAGAACTGTGAGTCAATTAAACCTCTTTTCTTTATAAATTACCAAGTTTCAGGCAGTCCTTTATAGCTGTGTGAGAATGGATTAATACAAAAACAGATTACTAAAAAAAAATTAATCCTCCCGACAACCTACAAGGTAGATCCTATCATTAGTATCACCCTCATTTTACAATTAAGGAAACTAAGGCACCAGGTGATTAAGTGACATGCTCTGTATTATCCAGGTATAAGTGGCAGAGCTGGGGGTGGAAAGCCTGTGCTCTTAACAAATTGTACTAAGAGACAGTATTGACCTTGAAAACAGAGGACAAGTTCACAGAGAAAAGCCAAAGCAAGAACAGGGTGGTAAGATGACAGAGGAGGAGGCTCAGAAACTCTTTCCTCATATCAAAGCAAAGTGCTGAAGGATAGTGGATAAATGATGAAAAATACTATTAAGGCTTGAGCTGACTAAGGGAAAGAGAAAAAGAATCAAGAAATCCAAACTAAGAAATATAGAAACAGATTAGTAGTTAGGATTTGGCTCTTCAAAACCAGGAAGATGCAAAAATTCAGCTTGACCAGATGTATTAGTTGGTTCTCATGCTGCTATAAGAACATATCCAAGACTGAGTAATTTATAAAATAAAGAGGTTTGACTGAGTTACAGTTCTGCCTAAGTTGGGGGGTGGAGGGGGGAAGATCTCAGGCAACTTACAATCATGGTGGAAAAAGAAGCAAGCACATCCTTCTTTAAAAGGTGGCAGGGAGAGAAGAATGAGCAAAAGGGGGAAAACCCCTTGTAAAACCCTAAGATCTCATGATAACTCACTCACTATTATGAAAATACCATGAGGGCAACTCCTCCCATGATTCAGTTACCTCCCACGACATGTAGGATTATGGGAACTACAATTCAAGATGAGATTTGGGTGGGGACACAGCCAATCCATATTACCAGACAAAATGCACTGGCCTTGCCCTTTTCTCCAAAAGGTCTCTCCCTACCAACTCCTACATCTCTGCCTTTCAGCTCCGGCCCTAAAAACAAAGGGCTGCCTGCCACATGAGTCTTCAGACCCTACCTCAAGCCCAGCTTTATTTAGGATCCAAACTAAGGGGAGGCTGCAAATTAAATTAAAATAAAAGAGGAAATGGTCAAAAGAAATTGGGGATTGGGGCTAAAACAAAAGTCTATTTATGTTAAGCTTTGAAAATTTAGGCTAGCAGTAATAGAAAAAGCAAAGAAAGAAAAAAAATGGGCATTTCTTTAGATTAGCACTTCTCAGTAGAATTCTCTGCAATGATCAAAATATTCTGGGCTATCCAATACAATATCTACTAGTCACATATGGCTATTTAAATTTTTTTTTAATTAAAGAACATTTAAATTCATTTCTTCAGCAAGCTACATTTTAAGTTCTCAGTACCACAAGGGCATTAGTGGCTACCATATTGGACATCACCATTATAGAATATAAAATTTTGTTGAGGCATAGTATAATTCAAATACATGGAAGGGAATATTTTTTTGAGACAAGATCTTGCTCTGTTACTCAGGCTGGAGAGCAGTAGCACAATCACAGCTCACTGCAGCCTTGAAATGCAATCTTCCTACCTCAGCCTCCCAAGTGACTGGGGCTACAGACATGTACCACTGCAACAAGCTACTTTTTGTATTTTTTGTAAAGGACAATCTCACTATGTTGCCCAGGCTCGTCTTGAACCCCTGGATTCAAGCAATCCTCTTGCCTCAGCCTCCCAAAGAGCTGGGATTACAGAGTCACCACAGAGTCATGTGACTGGGCATGAGTCACCATGCCCAGGCTTAAAAGGAAAATTTGAGAGGTCAAAATTTGGGATGTAGTTTACTAGTTACATGATACATGGGCTTTTAGGAGACAAACAAACAAACAAACAAAAAACCTTTTTCTAATAAAACAAATAAGACATGGAGGAAATGAGAACACTACTTGGATAATTATTCCCTTGATAAGTGTTTTCATTAGATATTCTTTGTCTGATAGGGAAACTCTGTGTTATGAGTTAGGAGACCTGGCTTTCAGTTTCTCCTCCTCACCTGATATTTACTTGTTGTGGGAGCTCACTCAAATGATTTCTCCTCTCTGATCTTCCCTCTCTTCTCTAATGAAAATTTGATCTTGATTGTAGATGGCATATACACATATACGCACCACCACTTCCATGCCTGTTTCCATCACAGACGTGAATAATCAAATACAACACTCCTCCCCTCTGAGCTGAATTCACCCACAGCTCCTTCACATTTAGTACACAAAGTAATCAACAATTGAGAATTGTCACAGAAAACGAAATGTCTTTGCTACCTCAGTTTGAGCTAATCACTAAATTGTGATTATTTGATAAATGAGATGACAAAAAAAAATCATGAGAATGAACTAACACTGGAAAGAACATTACCTGGACAGTCATCTTGATGATCACTGGAGACATCTATCCAACAACTTTTACAGGCATTAGGTTGTTTGTTGTATTGTTTAAAGCACTTTGATGGAATTTAATCTAAGATGGGAACCCTGCTGTCATGGTTAGTTTTTATGTATCAACTTGGTAGGTTTTGGCACCCAGTTGTTCATTCAAACACCACTCTGGAAGTTACTAGACAAGTATTTTTAGATGTAGCATTTGAATCAGTAGACTTGGAGTGAAGTAAATTACCCTCTGTGCGTGTAGATCTCATCTAATCAGTTAAAGGTCTTAAGAAGGAAGACTTAGATACCCAAAAGAAAAAGGACTTCTACCTTTATATTACATTTGAACTCAAGGCTGCAGCATCAACTCTTCCCTGAGTCTCTAGTCTCCTGGTCTTCCCTGCAGATTTTGGACTTGCCAGCCCCAACAACTGCATAGACCAATTTTTAAAAATAAATCTCTCTCTCTTTCTCTCTCTCTCCATGTGCACATATAAATACACAGACACATCCTATTGGTTCCGTTTCTTTGGAAAACCCTGACTACTACACCTGTCAAGAACACAACACAATACACACACCTACAATCCCATGGGGACACTAACTGTACAACCAGTACTATTTTTTAAGTGCAATTTTTTGGCATAAATGTTAATGTGTTTGTGAATGGAGAGCTTTGGGAGAGCCCTAAGCCCTCCTTTCAACATTGCCTTTACCCAGAAACTTCAGGCTTCGTGATCTGAGAAAGCCAGTTACCACTGTCCTTTTCTGACCCTTTGCACAAGGGAGAGAGAAGGCAGAAGAAATCCACCCCCTCGAAAACCCCAGAGCAGCCAATACACATGTGCCCACTGCTCTTGGGTTGACTTGGTCTTTGTGACTAATTTTCCACGGGGATAATTATCTGGTTAATTGCTCTGGTGCGAACAAGGCTCTGTCTACACTGAAGCAGGAAAACGATGTCAACGTGGGCACAAACAGGGAGGGACAACTTCCAGAGATCAGCTCATCTCATTTCTTCCTTTCTTCAACCACTCAACAAGCACGTCTTCAGGAATTTGCCAATGTATAAGAAAGAAACAGGAATGTTTTTCACCAAGAGATGAGTTTTATTTGGCCAGCATGCCCTTTTTAAAACTCGGGAAATTTCCAATTAAAATCCAGATTCCAGCTTCTCTTCGCAAAACAGAGCATCAGGCACATTCTGCCTGTGTTTTTGTGTGGTAGAGTGTAGCAACGAGCTGGAGATAAGGAGATGAAGCCGGGTTTGAATTCTCCCAGTCCCCAGCTCTCACAGCAGCCCCACTTCTATCATCTACTGGGTGTCTAGGTGTCTGAGGTAGAACCCCTTCAGCTACACTGCCCTGGACCACGTGCTTCGGGAAGGCACACCTTGCTTATTCATCACAGGGTTCCCTGCAGGTTCTGCACAGTGACTGGCACACACAAAGTTCTCAAGGGACTCTCCCACATGGGTGAATTGCAGGCTTCAGCTAGACCACAGGACCTAGCTGAAGTCACAACCTGACTTCTCTAGTGGCAGGCAGTGCCAGTATCTGCCAGAAAGAAGGGAGTGGAGTCTGCTCCACAGAGACAAATAATACAGTCTGGGAGTGAGAGAAGGGTGGGCATGTCGGGGCCAAGAATGCTGTCTGGGCAATTTCAGACAACAGCTTGGGCGCCTGGAGACAGGACAGGGTGGATGTGTCGTTGTGTCCTAGGACATGTTGAAAGTCACACAAGCTTAGCAGAAAATGCCTAATGGACCATCAGTCCCCAGGGACTACCCTGCTGGCTGGCGGAAGGAAGGGAGATGATCTAACTATTTATATTACAGCCAGCTCAGAAGAGAGGTGCAGTGTTCACATGGTGGAAGCAGAAGCAGATATTAAACATCACTCACCCTCGCCTTTGCTTACTTTTGGGTTTCCTGGTACCTCTTTTGTTGTTGGAGGAGAGTTTCATAAATGGGTTTCTAAAAGAGGTTTCAGAAAAGTCATCATAACATGATATGCTCACCCCGCTCAAATGGGCTTCTCCTCCTGCCTACCTGTCATCATGTCTTTGTCCCTCGCTGTCTTCCCATCTCTGCCTATTCATAGCCTACCCCCTCCTCCAGACTCATCTCAAATGCTACCTGCTCCTGGAGCTCTCCTCCATGACCAAGCCCTTCTTTCCATGCTGCCATCCTCCAGAAGGCCATGGTGTTCCAAGCCATGGAATGTCCTTCTGAGAGTGACTTTGGACACAGCCACGTGACCCCAGCTGGGCTCTGGCAAGTGGAAGCATCCACTCTCAGAGGCAGAGAGGACCTAGGGCACATCGCTTCGACACCCTGTTTGCATCCATCAGCCACCGAGGTCACAAGAGGAGACACGACTTGACCAAGGTCACAGAGCCAGCCAGTGGTAGAGGCAGATTTGGAATCTGGTTCTGGGAGTTTGGGTGATATACTTGTTTGGATGTCGTACTTGTTGAAGCACAGCTGTGGATTCAGGCAGGCCATTTACAAACCCTGTCCCAGCACCAACTAGATGAGCAATTTTGGGCAAACAATTTAATCTCCATGTGTCTCCCCTTCCTCTTCTTGTCTGTAGAATGTGGATGGTCACAGTATCTCCATTCAAGTGTTGTTTTGTTGATTAAATAAAGAATCTAGTGATGGAGCTCTTTACCAGTGCCAGATACTGAGCTATCTGTAAAAAGAACTGAGTAGGCTGGGCACAGTGGCTCACACCTATAATCCCAGCACTTTAAGAGGCCAAGGCAGGAGGATCACCTGAGGTCAAGAGTTCAAGACCAGACTGGTCAACATGGTGAAATCCTTCCTCCCCTAAAAATATAAAAATTAGCCAGGTATGGTGGCATACAGTCATAATCCCAATTACTCGGGACACTGAGGCACAAGAATCGCTTGAACCTGGGAGGTGGAGATTGCCACTGGCCAAAACTGCACCACTGTACTCTAGCCTGGGTGACACAGCAAGACTCCTTCTCAAAAAAAAAAAAAAAAAAAAAAAAAAGAGAGAGAGAAAGAAAGAGAAAAAGAAAGAAAGAGAGGAAGGAGGGAAGGAAGAAAGGAAGGGAGGAAGGAAGGAAGGGAAGGAAGGAAGGAAGGAAGGAAGGAAGGAAGGAAGGAAGGAAGGAAGGAAGGAAGGAACTGAGTAAAGTATTTTGTAAAATGTTATTTCATTTAGTGGTTTACTACTATTCCCCAAGTTCCCCTAAGGTTTTGGAATTGCCCAATATGGCACCTACCAGCCACATGTGGCTATTTAAATTAAAATGACTCAAAATTAAATGAACAATTGAGTTCTTCAGTGGCATTAGCCCCCTTGTAAAGTATCCAGTAGCTGCCTGCAGCTAGTGGATCCGTATTGGACAACGCAGATACAGGACATTTTCCACCGCTGCAGAGCCTCCTATTGGACAGTGCAGGTTTCTAATCTGGGAGTCCAGAGGAGCCCTGGAAAAGTCGAAGCAGCTTATCTTTGGGCTCCTTTAAACAAACCCTTTTCTTTTCCTTCTCTTCAAGGCTGCCTCTGGCTTCTTGATTTGGATTGAAAACATGTAGATTCCTGGAGGAAAGGCCTGGAGACTGTGCTGGCTGCACTTGCTCCTGTGGGATGGGGGCTCTAGGAAGGAGGAGGACAGACAGGGCAGGAGAGGCTTGAGTCTCAGTAAGTCTGGGACCACCCTTAGTGCTGTCGTCACCCTGATCAGTCTCCTAGAGAACAGGCTTCTAAAGAGGAGAAGCACATTCAAGCAATTCACCCAGCCAGCTACCCGGTGTTTTCAGAAGCAGGAAACGAATGGTCACTCTCCCTTCCAAATAGTAAGGGGGGACGGAGAGGACAGAGGAGGAACTATCGGTGACCTGGAAAGTATCCCTGGAGCACTGGAGCTTTCACCATGGCCTTCTCTAGGCAGAAATTGATCCACTGGCTGATGTTGGCCTCTGCTCCAAGCTGACAGTATTGTTTTCAGCACAGCAAGGCCAATGGGTGTTGAGCTGAGGTTTTCACTAGGAGCAGAAAGACATTCCTTAAATCCGAGGCTCTCTGGCTAGGAATACATCTGCCAAGAAACAGACCCCTTTGGCCCTCCTCATATTGACACGGTGGCTACCTTAAGAGTCCCAGCAAACTGACACAAGAACAGAAAATCAAACACCGTATGTTCTCACTTATAGGCGGATGTTGAACAATGAGAACACATTGACACAGGGAAGGGAACATCACACACTAGGGTCTGTTGGGGGGCAAGGGAGGGACAGCAGGGGGTGGGGAGGTCAGGGAGGGATAACATGAGGAGAAATGCTAGATGTAGGTGACGGGGGGATGGAGGCAGCAAACCACTTTGCCATGTGTGTACCTATGCAACAATCCTGCATGATCTGCACATGTACCCCAGAACCTAAAGTACAAAAAAAAAAGGGTTCTACCTCAACTTGTGCCCCTCCCTTTCCTAGGGATAGCCACAAGGACTCTTACTTTTTCAAACACTGAAATGGCTAAAACAAAATAAAGAAAAGGGAGTGGCAGTTAAAGAGAGAGAATATGGGGAGGGAAAGGGAGAAGGGAGCTGGTAAGAGGAAGGAAAGAAGAAAGGGAAGCAGGCTAGATGATGAAGGGACAGGCAGAGGAGAGCAGGGAGCTTTGAGAACAGAATGTCCCAAATTACAGAGGGTGGCATGGCTGGCTGACGCGCCCCTCCCATCCCAACCTCACATCATCTGCTGGGCTGACTCGCCCCTGGTGGCAGCTGGTCAGTGGGATCTTACTGAGAAAGCTGGGGGAAGAGGCTTTCCTTTCTGCCTGAGCCCTTGGAATGTTCACCCCATCCTTTCCTGCCAGAACTTGAGGTGCTGAGATGCAGTGGTCTCCAGACAGAACCGGCGCTGGGAGGACTGGAACTCTGCCCAGCCAGGCCCTTGCACCATCAGAGCTGCTTCAACACACTCTCTGGAAATCCCAACACAGCGTTAAGCAAGCAGGGAAAGGGAATGCTGATGGAGAGAGAGCAGGTGGTCAGGGAATTGGAGAAATGTGCTCTGGGGTCCCAGCTAGCCTTTTGTAGCCTGTTGAGGATGAAAAGATGGCCTTAGAACCCACAAATCTGAGCCTACCCAACCTCTTCATGCTGCCTGTGTGTATTGGTGGTTTTTCCAAAACAAAATGCAGTCACTTCTCTGGTCACCTTGCCAATGGCTCACAGCCTTCAAGGCTGCTGAGATCTTTCTGTGCCTCAGCAGACAATCAGGTTATGTACAGGAAGACCACTTCTCCAACCTTTCTCAGCTCTCTCGACCTCTCGCACAATTCAGTTTTGTTCTTTTACAAATTAAAAAAAAAAAAAAATGAGACCCAGAAAAGGGAGATGACCAGGTAAGGGCCACAAGGCTCGGGGTGCCAGGCCAGGGACCTGGGAGTCTGCATTCTAGTCCAGCACTTTCTCCTCCATGCCTCCCACTCCCCACTAAATGAGGAATAAATGATGTTAACAGTCCCACACTCTACCGTGTAACCCAACAGGATCTCAGACCTCCACCATCTCTTCTTAGATGCCTTTATCTTTTCTCTCAGTGCTGGAAATTTCCTCTTTTTCTCTAAATGACCCAAAGCTGGTCTTGCAGGCTGATTTGTGTAATCATTTGAGATCTCTGCCTCCCAGGGCTATTGAGAAGCTAAGAATAGACTAGGGGGTAAAGGTTTCACCAATTACCCGTCATGGCCCCTGGGAGGTACAGTTCTATGAGTACAAGGTCCGGGGACTGCCAGTGGCTCCCATCCATTCACCACCCCCAGCAGAGATCTGCTGATGAAAATCATTATGCAGGACCCTCGAAGTTTCCTGGAAGTGGCTGAGGCCATAAGCCGGTTTAATGGGAAGACACGATTTCCAATTTCCAAACAAACAAATTCACAGCTCAATTGCACTGCCTGGATGGTTCCAAATTCCTCCTGCTGAGCCTGATTTCCCTCCTACTTTTTTTTTTAATTATTAAAAATACAGGCCATCTGCCATCCACGTAGGAGGAAGGAGACAGCCGGAGGGCCAAAAACAGATCCTACGTGATGCCAGGCCCATAGTGTTCACCTCTGCCAAACAGCCTCAACCATCCAATCCCAGAAAATGCCTGGAAGAGTGAGACTATTTCTTCCCAAAGGGGCTTTCTGCGTTTTACTGAAAAGGAAATGAGTTTAGAAGGGTAAAGGCAAAGTGCACGCAGCTAGGAGGAGAGGGTCAGGATGTGGGATTAGGAGAGATGGGAGGCCTAGACGGGAATCCTGCATCAGTTTTTCTTGTGAAAGTCTGGACTTTGCCTAGCTTCTAGACCCTGCTGACTCAGAGAAGAAAACTCAGATCTCAGATTTCCACATTAAGGTGCTTAGCACCGACACACACACCCACTGGATCCTCAACTAAACCATTAATGTGACTTTATGTCAACAACCCAGGTTTGCAATGACAAAGCCATAATCTAACTCAGGATTATTTTTGTTAATTTGCATACAAGCCCTGGGACACCATGGGAAATGAATAGGTATGCCCAGTCACCCTGACTTTAATAGGTAGCTGAAGAAAAGGATTGTTTTTTAGCTCAGAAACCTACAAATTCCCAAAAAGAACATTTGGTTACAGAAGGTTAGTCAACTCAGTAATGTGGGTGATAGACTTGTGAACCCCCGGCTAATGGCAGTAAACCTCAGCGCTCCTGAGTATTAGAGGGACAATTACTAGTTTTAGCAGTTTATTTGGGTCCCAGAGCATCTGGACCCAGACTGCCCGAGTCTGAATACTGGTTCTTCATTTTGCAGCAGTATGAGCCCAAGCAAGTTGCTTAAGCTCTTTGTGCCTCAGTTTCTTGTTTTATAAAATAGGCACACATGTGGTACTTACACATAGGGCTATTAAAAATATTTATCAAGTTAGTACATGTAACTGACACTTTAGAATGGGGCCTAGTACATAAGTACCAGCTATCATGTTTGCTGTTGACCTTAGTTAGATACCACTTCTGTGGTGGGTTTCTGTTCTTTGTTACATCCATGTGGTCCTTGGTCCCTGACATCCTGTCCTGTGTCTCTAAACCAGAACACCTGTCTCATGTTCCAAAATCTGGCATCCTGTCTCTGGAGGCCCAGCTCAAGACAGGAGCTGCAACACCAGGATCTAAATGGCCATGACATCTAGCAGTGGACGGAACAGTGCTCATATCCTGCAGCCTTTCATAGAGAAGAAAAGACCCCCAAATTCACAGCTGCCATGTAAAAAGTCTTGTGACTGGAAAGGATCTGGGATTGATTAAAACTGCCACAATTGAGCAGGAAGGTCTAGTTCTCCTCCCTTAAATCTGGACTGGCCTTAAAGACTTACTGAACCAACAGAATGTGGCTAAGTGACACTACAGAACTATGGAGGCCAGGTCCTTAGAAGCCATGTAGCTTCTTCCTAGGTCACTTGAAACACTCTTAGAGCCTTGAGCCACCATATAAGAAGTCTGACTAGCCTGCTGCAGAGACCACATGGTAAGGCCTGAGACTACATGGGGAGGTAGAGGGGCCCAGGTGAGCCCAGACATCCAGCCAGTCCCACCAAGGCACCAGACATGTGAGTGGAGCCATCCTGGACCTGCCAAACCAATCTGTCTGCCAGCTGTGCACCAATGAGTGACTCTAGTTGCCACCATGAGAAGTGAAAGAACCATCCAGCTGAGCCCTGCTCAAATTCCCAGCCACAAAATCGTAATATACAAGAAAATATAAGAAATGTAATGAAATATAACAAAATACTTGTTTTAAACCATTAACTCTAGGGATAGTTGGTCATACAGCAACGGATAATAGTATCTGTACTAGGTATAATTAGAACTAAAAGCAGTAAAGTCAGACTTGACTAAAACATCTCATGAGTTAGTTCAGAGGACACTTTTTAAAAAATCTGTTCTGAATCTTTTTCTTTGGGACTCATCCTCATTCTCTGATAGTATTGCCCAGCATTATGACTTATGGCAGAAACAGCTAGTCATTTAACATGGCTGTGTCCTTTCCTGCCATGTTCATAGTTAGACTATATTCCCAGACGTCATTACAGTCTGTTGGTGCAACTTAGTTCTGGCTAATGAAATGTTAGACCTGGTCCATGAAAGAACCCCATGCATGTGTCATGGTCCAGTTTCTCTTCCCCCATTAGGGAGCTGGATATTGATGCTCTCGGTGACCTTGGAAACCACATGTTAAAGATGCCAGGACCTCCCTCAGCCTGAGTGCTTAAGAATATTCTCCCAATATGACTGTGTAAATAACTAAAAGGTAAACTTCCATTATATAAAGTTACTGAGATTCTCAGGGATTGTTGTTATAGCAACTAGAACTACCTGACTTGTGGCTAGTGACTCTGGCCTTGGCAACCAGAAAATCCCCTCTCCTGGCCACTGAGATTGTACCTGTGATGGATATGAGACCCAGGCTAGACTAACAGAGTCACTTCCTGAAATATGCTATGCACTCTGTTTTTCTAGAACCCGTGGAAGCATTTTGTTTCCACAAAGAAAGAGAGAGTTTCAATGACATCAGTGAACTCCTGGGTCCAGCTATACCTGAAGTTAGACCAGTCCTTGGATCCCCAGCAGCATGAGTCAGCTGATCCCCTCTAAGCAAAAAGTTATTGCCAGTGTATTTATATTCTTCCCATGGAAAGGGTTCTAACCAACACTGGAGGAGTATTTTGGATTTAAGAAGAATCCTTAGAGGTGAGTACATCGTGAGCTCATCATGAGTGGTGAATGAGACACTCAGAGCACCCCATCACACAAGACCCTGCTGGTAAGCCACTGGGAGCTTGTATTTTACATTAAGGCCATTTTACTGTATTTCTTACATACCAGCTAGGCAGGTAGCTCTGATCTATGAAATAAACCAGGATTAGAGACAAGAATCAACTCTGCCTCTCTGGTTAAAACAGAATATTTTCCCCAAAATGGTGTCCTTTTAAGAATTTTGAATAATTTTGGAAGTATCTCAATTCCAAAGCATGGTGGCATTCTAAAAACTTAGAGATGGTGTCTGGGAGGTGGAAAGAAACAGATAGAAATTCATGGGGGACAAAGAGGAGGCATCAAGGACTAGATGGAAGGTGTAAATAATAGGTTCATATTCCACTTTGAAGGGAAATGCCTGAGCATTGATGTGGCACACACTCACCCTTTGCCATTTGCTTTTGTTCTCATCTTTTTATCACCTATACGTTGCATATATTCCCATGGTAGTGGTTTGAATTGTGTCCCCACCAAAATATATGTTTAACTCCTAACTCCCAATACTTAAAAATGTGATTTTATCTAGAAATAGGGTTTTTGCAAATGGCCATCAGTGAAAGACTGGATAAAGAATTTGTGGTATATATATGCCATAGAATACCAAGCAGCCATAAAGAGGAACGAGATCGGCCAGGCATGGTGGCTCATGCCTGTAATCCCAGGCATGAGGCTGAGGCGGGCAGATCACTAGATGAGGAGACTGAGACCATCCTGTCCTGGCTAACACAGCAAAATCCCATCTCTACTAAAAATACAAAACAAACAAAAAAATAGCCAGGCACGGTGGCTCATGACTGAAGTCCCAGCTACTCGAGAGGCTGAGGCAGGAGGATCACTTGAACCCTGGAGGTGGAAGTTGTAGTGAGCCAAGATCATGCCACTGCACTCCAGCCTGGGCAATAGGGCAAGACTCCATCTCAAAAATAAAATAAAATAAAAATAAAAAAAGGAACTAGATTATGTCCTTTTTCAGGGACATAGATGGAGCTGGAAACCATTATCCTCAGCAAACTAGCACAGGAACAGAAAACCAAACACCACATGTTCTCACTTATAAGTTGGAACTGAACAATGAGAACACATGGACACAGGGAGGAGAACAACGTACTCTGGGGTCTGTTGGGTGCTTCAGCGGGAGGGAGCACATCAGGATAAATAGCCAATGCACCTAGGTATCCAGGGGCTGAATACCTAGGTGATGGGTTGATAGGTGCAGCAAACCAACTTGGCACATGTAGCAAACCTGCACATCCTGCACATGTACCCCAGAACTTAAGATAAAATAAAAGTTAAAAAATAAATAAATAAAAGAACTAGGAATTTTCACAGATAAATCTAGTTAAAATAAAGTCATTCTGGATTAGATTAGGCCCTAAATCCAATGATTGGTTAAAAAAAAAGAGAGAGAAGAAAATTGGAATATGGAGACAGAGAGGAGATACAAGGAAGAAGTCCATGTGATGACAAAGGCAGCTACTGGAGTGAGACAGCTACAAACCAAGGAATGTCAAAGATGGTCAAAAAGCCACTGAAAGCCAGAAAGCAGCAAGGAAGGATTCTTCCCCAGAGCCCTCAGAGGTAGTGTGGTCCTGCCAACACTTTAGTTTTAGATTTCTGGCCTCCACAACAGTGAGAGAATACATTTCTGTTGTTTGTTGTTTTAAATGACTAATTTGGTGATGATTTGTTATGGGAGCTCAGGAAACTAACATATTCATGTTTCTCATCTATGCATGATATGGTCTGGCTCCTTGTCCCCACCCAAATCTCACCTTGAATTATAACAATTCCCACGTGTCAACGGTGGGACCAAGTGGAGGTAGGTAATTGGCTCATGGGGGCAGTTTTCTCCCATGCTGCTCTCTTGAAAATGAGTGAGTCTCACGAGATTTAATGGTTTTATAAGCTTTCGGCATTTCCCCTGCTGGCTCTCATTCTGTCTCCTGCTGCCCTGTGAAGAGGTGTCTCCCACCATGATTGTAAGTTTCCTGAGGTCTCCCCAGCCATGAGAAACTGTGAGTCAATTAAACCTCTTGCTTTTATAAATTATCC